GGAAATAGCATTAATTAAACTATACCAATCATCAATATTAAAATTTATTTCTACTAATTATGAAATTAATTGTCAAACAAATAAGGCTTGAATATGAAATTCAACTATATTAGTGGATGTCTCGGTATAAGACTTTAATTATCCTTTTTAACACTACTTAAATATATATATATATAAAAAAAAGTATTTATCCACATTATAAAAATATTTTGTTTTATGTATTTTTTTTTTTAAAGAAAAAAAGGCCTAATCCTAGCCGGTTGCCAGACATGAAAAAGAAAAGATAAATATGAAAAATTAGGAAAAAGACAATATCCACGTCAGCAATCATCCAGAACTGAAAGCACGCACCCCCACTAGACCCACATCATCCCTCAACGTTCCCCATTCCTCCTCTCTCTCTCTCTCTCTCTCTCTCTTTTTCGACTCTTCACCTGCTCCCCTTTCCTCTCTCTTTTATTTAAAATTAAAAATCTTTTTTTCTCTCTCTCTCTCTCCCCCCCCTCTCTCTGTAGAAAAAAAAATCCCATCCCTTCTCTCTCTGCTCTAAATCTATGGACCCTTCTCTCTCTATATCTATAGATCCAATTCCACCTCCGCCGCTCTTTCCTTTTGCCCCATCCTCCGTCTTCCCTGCCGCTTCCGCCGCCGCTGCCACCGCCGCTGTTCACAACCACTTTGCTCAGCAACAGCCGCCCGTCCCTCCTCCCGTCAACCACCCACCCTATGATGACGTAAGCAACTCTCTCTGTGTGTTTATCGGGACTTGAAAAAAATAATCGGGGCTTCTTTCTGTTGTGTTCTGTTTTATCTGCTATCTTTTCTGTTTATCGGCTTTGTTTTGTGTCTTTTTACTTTATCTGGGGTGTGTTTGAGCGAGTAGGTGTGTGTTTTGATGTGTTTGGTCTGGTTATACAGATGATATATTCCGCGATTGCGGCTTTGAAGGAGAAAGATGGCTCTAGTAAGAGGGCGATAGCCAAGTACATAGAGCGAGTTTACTCGGACCTTCCGCCTACTCACTCCACTTTGTTGACTCATCACCTTCAGCGCTTGAAGACAACTGGTAGGATTGTGATGGTGAAAAAATCTTACAAGCTTCCCAATTCCAGTGCTTCTGCTTCTGGCACTGCTGCTGCTGTTGCTCCTAGATCTGACATGCCCAATAACACCTCCACTCATCAGCAAGTGCTGCCTGCTACTGCTGCTGCTGCTGCTTCTTCTTCTGGGCCTAAGAGGGGACGTGGAAGACCCCCTAAGCCCAAGCCTGATTTCCAGCTTCCTTCTCAGCCCAATGACATGCCCAATGTCGAATCCGGCTCCCAACCCGTTTTGGCTGCACTTGGTCTTGTCCAGGACGCCGATCCGGCAAAAGGAAGCCCTGTTCCTCCTCCAAAGACACTGTCTGTGGAAGGTGGTAGTGCGAAGCGCCGGGGTCGGCCACCAAAGAGTGGTTCAGGGAAACCCAGGAAGCCCAAGTCTGTGGCTCAAGCCTCTCTGGTAGGCTCTGCTGGACTCAAGAGGGGTCGTGGTCGTCCCAGGGTGCAGCATATGGGGTCTCCATTTAGACCACGGGGACGGCCGAGGAAGGTCGGGGCTGAAGCCATCGGTCTCGCTGGAGGAGTGATGCCGGGAAAGCGGCGTGGACGGCCACCGAAGATTGGCGGGGTTATTAGCAGGCCCATGAAGCCGAAGAGAGGTATTGGTAGGCCTGTGGGTCGGCCTAGGAAGGTACTCTCTCACTCATTCCTGCTTATGTTTGTGAAATTGGTTGCTTATTGATTTGGCTCTGTGAATTACTGGAGAATGGATGTGTTCTTGTTAAGATTTTAGATGCAAAATGGCGGGATGTTGACTTGCGTTTACGTATGCACTCTTTTCGTTGATTGATTAGTATTTATTTATCCTGCATTGTTAGGTGTAGACAAGTTAAAAATTGAAGAAGAGAATTTGGGTAGTGTTAATTAAGCTCTTTTTACTATAATTACTTACAAGCTTTGTAATTTACCACGTAAATTACAATGTCTGTAAATCGTTTCTCTTAATTAGGAGTAAATGAAGAGTCTTTTATATTTGGGTTACGGTTTGAATAATACATAAATTTGTAGGATTTATTTGTAAGTTTGTATTTAATTCAACCGAAAGATAATATAAATTCATTGACAAAAGTTGACGATATACTTAATTTTATTTGGAGTTCAAATGACAAAATATAGAATGCTCTGTTTTAATCTTAGATAGAATTTTATGAGTTCATTTTTGTATTATTTTAGTTTTAATTGAATTGAGTGTTAAATTTCAAATGAATGCTATTGACATTCTAGATTTATTCAAACACGGTACCGGGGTTTTTGTACTTTAAATCTAAAATAGGTGTGAAATTAAATTCTAACTATATGTTTAAGGGAATTGATAGATACATATAAAATTCTGTCGGAATATGAGAATTCTTCAAATGGGTTTTACAGAAAAATACCTTTAGGCTTGTTTATGCATTAAAATGTTTTCTAATTTTTATTTCCTAGCAGGTACATGTTTCTATATGCGAACATGTAAATATTAGTAAAACGCGGATGCTAGTTGAGTAGAAATGGAAGTTTCTAGAAGACTATCGATAATTTTTTATATTGTTACATTTATTGTTTAGACACTGTTTTAGTTTTAAGACTGTAAATTAGGAAATAAAAATAATAAAAAATTTTCGTCTACAAAAGTCTTAGCTTGCAGCTGCTTTAAAGCTTTGAGGTGATAATCAAATATGGAAACTTGAATAAAGTGAACTTTTTCCTAACTAAATGAAGGAAATTAGTGTTAGATATGGTGAAATAGGAGAAACTAAAATATTGAAATGTGTGTAAAGTGTGTGGCTATGTTACTTCTTTCAAGTAAATTCTAGAGTTATGAACATTCTCTGGTTTGATGGTTGGTACTTCACTTTATGAGTATGGTTTCAAGCCCCGGATTGTGCTTAAGCCCAACTAGCTCTAGAAAATAGAAAATAGAAAATAGCATTATAGAATCGTAATTTCTTTATTGATTTTTGTCTAGTAATATTTTCCTATAACAGAAGCTTTTCACTCAAATATTAGAAAGTAATTTTTTTAATTGTTAAAACATAAGAATAATGCTTTTGTTCGATACTTTTTATATAAATCCACAGTTCTAAAAATTATTAGGAGATTTTATGATAATTGCCCGTGGATTAGCTAACTAAATTTTCAATTAACTCTTTTTTGTTTTGTTGTATGAAAATGATGTATGTTTTGGTGGTTAATCCAATCTGCCTATCACGAAAATAGTTATTACCTTCATTTGTTTGTCATGTGGAATTAAGAGTATAGGGTATAAACAAATTGGAGGATTGGTTTATTAAGTTGTCAGGATGAGAGATTTCTGAACTATGTTGAAAGTGAAAGCAAAAGTTTGCTTGTTTGGAGTAGTTGTCAGTGTGGTCTCTGTATCAGATTTAACCAAGTCAATACATGCTTTATTTAAAAAAAATTGTCACTACATGGTGGGCTAAGATTGTGATTTTAGTTTTGTCCTTTTCAATAATATCATTTAATTTATTCAAGCAAAACGGATTATCAATTAGTTTTAACTAAGTCAAATAAGTAGTCTCTTGAAGGATTGTGGTTCTCTTTTTCTTCCGGTTTAATCCTTACTGAGGAAATAACCAGTGGATCAAGTCCTAATGATTTATGGGAATGTGATTCTAATTCATGCTTTTGGATAATACCATTTAATTTTTGTTCTATTAAAAGAGATTGTCAATTGAGGAGCAGATTGTCAATTTAATTAGGTTGACTTGTGCATGTTTTTACTCAAAACGCATAGATAGTTGCATACATGTTAAACGAGTGTTGTTTTCTCTTGCCATTTTGGTACAAAGGATGTGTCCTGGGCTTCTGATGCTGGAGCTGCCTATGGAGAACTGAAGAGAAAGCTCGAATTCTTTGTAAGTCCGTAGTTTGAGCTTTAAATAACGTCAGTAATATATGTTGCGGAAAACATTCAATTTACACTTTAATTATGTCTATTTGCAGCAATCGAGAGTGATGCAAGCAGTCAGTGTGCTGAAGCCTCAGCTGTCCAGTGAAAACTATGGTGTAGTAGCAGCAATTCAAGAGTTAGAAGGGCTTGCAGCTATGGACATTAATATACCGATGGAAGAGGTACCTCCACAGCAACCGCAACCACTAGCACATGCACAGGCACAGGCACAGCCACAACTTCAGCCACAATTGGAACAGGAGCTGTACCTGCAGCAGGCTCAAGGTGTCCATAATTAAGGGCAAGTGACTTCTGATTAATGTTAATGTGGTTCTTGATGCTTTTAGGAAGCTTATGGTGAGAATTATAGGTTAGTAGAACTGTAGAAGTTTCTGACTAACCAAGGTACACAGGGAACTTATGTGTAAAGGGAATAGGATGATGCAAAACTAATTGTCGTTATCGGTGTTTGTTGTTTGTGAAATTTTACAATCATGCTTTTTCTGTACTCATTTTCTCATTGTCAATTCAATTCGATCCTTGTCGATTGACCCAGTCATGATTGCCAAATAGAAAGTGCATGTTAAAGTTCGAGTTTTAGAATGTTTCGCTTTTTCGCAGGCAGTTTTCACCATTTAAGTTGGATTTAAACGAGGGAACATCAGGATTTTTCGATGACTGAGTTCCTGTTTAAAGAATTTTTTGAAATTGTTCTTGTAAGAATAGTAAAATTGTAGTTGAGTGGGTCTAAATAATTGTTTTTATTAAATAAAATAGCCCTGTTTTTTGAATTTTTGGTGTTTGAAAGAGAAAAGTGGGAGAACTCATATCTAAGTTATGTTTTTCACCAAGCTTTTGAAATTGAAAAGGCTATTTATAGCATTCTAGAATTTCAAACAACATTGACTTCAAGAAGATGAATTCATTATTCGTACAGCAAAAAGCTTATGTGGTCCCTTATTTTGGAGCAAAAATGCATGTATATATATAGATACACAGTAGCATGGAAACATGACTAGTGTAGTATTCCTTTAGAAGAGAAACTTGATGTTATTATTAAGTTATTATTACATAGTGCTATTAGATTATATTATCGGATTATTATTCTATCATGTTAAGATTAAATAATATAAACATGACAGAGACACAGAGGCAGCATAATCATTTCGAGATCTCCTCATACATACATATATATATATATATATATATATATATATATATATATATATATATATAACTGAAGCACATATGAAGTTATAATTGGGCATTATGTGTAAAACAAATAGGTCCAAAAAATACATTGTTAAAATTATCCATCAGTTTTAAACCCGCTCATGATATAAAACTTATAATTTAGTAAATATATTATGAGTAGGTAGTGATCAGTTTATAATATTTATTTTAATTAAAATAATTATTTATGTAATACTTGAATTCTAAAATTAGATTCGAAATAATTTAATAATAATAATAAAATAAATTAAAATAATTTAATTTTAATTTTTTGTGAATTTTTGAAAAAAAATTTGTATTTTGAATACATTTGAAAATATTTTTGAAAATCAGAACTAAAGTAAAAATAAAAGATCTTTTTGAAAAAAAAATCTAAAAAATTAGGGTAAAAGTAAAAATAATAAAAATTTGGCCACGTGGACTGCCATGTCAGCAGCGCGGCCGATTGTCATGCGTCGTGTGGCAGACACGTGGCTACACATCCACGCGAGAGGCCACGAAGGTGATCTGCGTGTCAGATCTCCTCTCCCGTGCACGAACGACCAAGATTCATTTCCTCTTCAGACACGATCGAACGGTCCTGATTTCATCTGATCGTGCAATCAAGATTCATTTCTTAGATAGGATTGATCAAACAGCTGAGAATGGGTCACGTCTCCTCGAATGGACGACCTGAATTTAATGAAGTGGAGTATTTAAACTTCTCTTCCACAGAAAATCTTAACTCTAGCCGCCAAGAGATGATCGGAGAAGAAGAAG